TATCATGAAAAATGGCAGTCATGGCTCTCATGTAAGTTGCCCCGACATTCTTTAAACCGAACGACATAACCCGATAACAGTAAGTACCCCAAGGTGTAGTGAAGGCGATTTTCTCAGCATCTTCTTCATCCATCAACACCTGATGATATCCAGCGTAACAATCTACGAAAAACTGTATCTCATGTTTGGCACAATTATCAACAAGGATGTGGATGTTGGGCAACGGAAAATTGTCTTTGGGACTTGCCCTATTCAAATCTTGATAATCCACACACATCCGAGTTTTCCCATCTTTCTTCGGTACAGGAACTACATTAGTCAACCACGTAGTATACTGGACTACCCGAATTACTCCTGTTTTCAACTGCTTTGTGATTTCTTTTTTGATCTTATCACTGATATCAGTCTTGAACTTCCTCTGCTTCTGTTGAACTGGAGGACAATCAGGGTAAATTAGCAATTTATGCACCACTAGATCAACACCTAATCCTGACATATCATCGTATGACCAAGCAAACACATCTTTAAATTCAAAGAGGAGTTGAATTATTACATCTCGCGTTTTCTCATCTGTGTGAATGCTTATTTTGGTTTCTCGGATTTCTTCAGGAGTTCCCAAATTAACCGGTTCGGTGTCATTCTAATTCGGCTTAGGTTTATTTTCAAAGTATTCCAATTCTCGATTTATTTCCTTAAAAGCCTCTTCCTCATCATATTCCGGTTCTTGGTTCATTATTTCGCAGTTAGACAATGTGTTTGGATCTGGGCATGAAGTCTGCAAGCATGTCATGTTATTTAAAGCCGCATTATTAGAACTAAAAGAAGAAATAAGAAAAAGTAACAAAAATCAGAAAGAATGAAGAGAGATGAACGATGAAATATTAATTTCATTTCATTGAATTTTGAAGATAACAAGGTTCACATAAGTATTTAAAAAGACAGGAAATCAAAAGAAAAACATCCGAGTTACACCCTGAAATAACTCGTGATGTAGAAAAAGTGGCAGGACAGGTCTACCGGGACTCTCGCCTAATTGGGAATGGCGTAGCCTTCCAATTCTGCAGCTTGGCATTGGGTCCCATATATAGCACCTCAGCGGTGCTTGAGCCCTCCCCTGGCTGGACCATGTGGGTTTCATATAGTATCTTCCTCATTGCCCCATAGATCTCCTCAATCTCTTCGGCAGTAAAGGCCTCATCTTCTTCTTTCTTCTAGTATTTTGGCTTGACAAATGTTCTGTAAAGATACGGAACCGGCTGAGGCAAAACCCAACCATCATTCTTTCTATCATTTGCCCATCTTCTATCAGCTGGAGTGGGTCGGAAGCCTACCCCTAAGAACTTTTCACTGGTGGGTAGGGTGATAAGTTTAACTATCCCTTGCAATGATTTCCCAAGTCCCTTCCCCAGTTTGAAGCCATGTCGGATCATTTCTTTGGCCACCATGATTGATGCATTAGAAAGGAAAGGTTGGGGGCAAGGTTTTCCTTCTTTGTACTGGTCTGCAACCACAATTTCAAAAGCCTGATAAACTATGTGCTCACTCCCCTCTCTTGCTTCAAGACATGGGACTGATGGGTCACGATAAATTGATTTCTCATCTTCTCCGCGGACCACGATCTCTTGGTCCTTATGCTCGAACTTCACCATCTGATGAAGAGTGGAGGGTACAACCCCTGCTGCATAAATCCATGGTCTCCCCAAAAAAAGTTGTAAGATGTGTCCATGTCTAGAACCTGGAAGGTTACTTCAAAGTCTACTGGGCCGATGGTCAGGATTAGATCGATTTCTCCAATTGTGTCCCTTTTGATGCCATCGAAGGCACGTACACAGACATTGTTGGGTTGGATTATTTCGGTCTCAATTTCCATGCGCTGTAAAGTTGAAAGTGGGCAAATGTGTACTCCAGAGCCTCCGTCCAACATCACCCTTTTCACGTAGTGCCCTTCGCATTTGACTATTAGGTGCAAGGCTTTGTTATGTGCGGCCCCTTCTGAGGGTAAATCAGTTTTGCTGAAAGTGATCTGGTTGATTGCGAAAAATCTTTCCGCCATTCTCTCCAACTGCTCTACAGAAATGTCAACATGCACATATGCTTCGTTAAGGGTCTTGATCAATACTTTCTGATGTTCGGCGGAATTCATCAACAAAGCCAACAGGGAGACTTGTTCGGGAAATTTTCGAAGCTGGTCAATCACCTCATAATCTGCCATTTTCATGTTTTGGAAGAAAACCTCCACTTCTTCGGCACTCACAGGCTTCTTAAGTGGGAAGCGCTTTCTAGTAGCGTTGCTTACCTCTTCCAAATTGGAATACTTTTTAACAGGATTATTTTCTTGAACTTTTCCTGGGATTTCTTCGCCTTTATAGGTCACCACCGTTTTGTTGTAGTTCCGGGGCACAACAGTAGGATCTTTCATGGGCTTCTGTGGCGCGCGTCCAATAACCACGGGCTCATTCAGCCTTGATGGTTTAATTGGCCCCCGCATCACATAAACACCCTTGGGCACATACATCTGGGTTATTTTGTTCAGCTCGAATCTCCTGGGAGGACTCAATGTCATCTGCTTTTCTTTACTGCCTTGAGGGACATAAAGAACAACATCTTTGAGAGGCGTTGCCCCGGTCTCAACTTCCATGTTCTTCTCTGACTTTGGAGGGGTAGTTTCTTTCTTTTTCTCCCTTTTATCTTGCTTCGAGGCAACTTTTGGTTTCTTTTCTTTGTCAGCAATGGCAATGATGGCCTTCAATGCTGGGTCAAATTCCTCATCCTCACAAATCATTCCAATTACCGGCCCGTTGTTGTGGGCTGGAAGTGGGTTGTTGGTCATATTGGGAACCTCTTCATCCCTTAACACTATCTTCCTTTGTTCTATCAAGTTCTCCACGGTTCTCTTCAGAGTCCAACAATTATCCGTGTCATGCCCTTTTGCCCCTGAGTGATAGGCGCATCGGGCACCGGCTCTGTAAGTGGGTGACGCTGGGTTTTGTCTGGTTTGAGGAATCGGCTGTAGCAGACCCATTTGAACAAGCTTTGGTAACAGGCTGGAGTAGGTTTCGCCAATTGGTGTGAAATTTGGTCTCTTGGGCGGTTCATGAGGGCGGAAATTATTTTGTGGAGGACGGGGGTTGGAGTGGTTTTGGTAAGGAGGTTGGTTTCTAGGAAATGGAGCTTGATTTCTGTTGGCTTGTTGTTGTGGCCGGACATAAGGCTGAGCATTCATGACCGAGTATGGCTGAGGAGTATAGGCCAAATCTTGGTGAGGGTAATAGTGCTGTGGGGTCCTTCCTGAGAAAAGAGATCTGGGGGTACAGTTTCTCCTTGCATCCGACACTGCCATGAATGTTTCTTCCCTTTTCTTTCCCTTTGCTATTACTCCAGACCCACCCTAAATGGCTTGGGAGGTAGCTCTGATAGCGGGTTGGCTTAGAATTCGACCCGTTTTTAGCCCATTTTCAACCATTTCACCAATCTTGATAGCTTCAGCGAACGGTTTACCCATTGCGGACATCATATTCTAGAAGTAGTCAGCTTCCTGAGCTTGAAGGAAAACTATGACCATTTCAACTTCATCCATCGGAAGATTCACCCTGGATGCCTGCTCACGCCATTTAACTGCGTACTCTCGGAAGCTTTCTGAGGATTTCTTTTTCAAGTTTGTCAATGAGTGCCTATCTGGAGCAATATCAATGTTGTACTGGAACTGCCTGACAAAATCTCTAGCAAGATCATCCCAGATGTGCCAGCGGGATATATCCTAATCCATGTACCACTCAAATGCGATGCCAACCAGACTTTCTCCGAAATAGGCCATGAGTAGTTCTTCCTTTCCACTGACTCCTCGCAGCTGATTGCAATACCTCTTGAGATGAGAAATAGGATCACCATGCCCATCGTACTTCTCAAATTTTGGGGTTTTGAATCCCAATGGTAGGTGCACATGAGGGAACATGCATAAATCGGCATAGGATATACTTTTCTGTCCACTCAAGCTTGTATGCTTTTGAGACTCTGTTCCATACTCCTCATCTTCCTCACGATCTCTTCTTGCTCGAAAGTTTTGGTGGTCTTTTCTTGCCCCGCAGCGAACTCAAATTGGGGTGGTTGAGGGTAAGTATAAGTAGGAAACTGAGGAGGTTCCGCTTGGAAAGATAGTGCTTGAAATGTGAAGGAAGATGAATCAAAGTTAGGCCTGGGTAAAACAGGTTGTGCCGTAGCTGAACAAGGTGGCGCGGTGAATATGTTTGAAGCCGCACTTGGAGCTAACAC